CGGGCGACGACCAGGCCGCCGGGCGGCCTGGGGACCAGCCTAGGTTTTATGGATAAATCTGACTGCACTCATAGCCAGACCATGATGAGTGCATTACCCAGGGCATAATGATGCAGATATATGTGTACTAACTGAGGACGTAATTGCAGTCACATACGTCAAGGTAACAACCCAGGACCAAACTGCAGCCTTTGCTTGCTTGTATGCCTGAAGTTCAGGTATATGTCCAGTATATGTCCAGTATATGTCCAGTATATGTCCAGTGCAATAAGTGAGGGTGTATTTGCAGAGGAGGTATATGCAGTGTGAATTCAGGCAGACAACAGTGTGGATAATCTCTCTCTCTCTCTCTCTCTCTCTCACACACACACACACACACACACACACACACACACTGTCGGGCTCCTGATGATTTGGCGAAAGTCTGAGGAAACAGCAGGGCACAGTAATGCTTTTTTCGTCAAATTTTGTGGACTTGTGTACAGTGAAGATGACAACACACACACAGGCAAATTCTTCCGCACTCTCACTCTCTCTCTCTCTCTCTCTCTCTCTCTCTCTCTCTCTCTCTCTCTCTCTCTCACGCATACACGTGGTCACCTTGATGCCAATACATTGTTGAAGATAAAGGAAGAAATATTGTTCTCAGGGGGTGAACCTTTCCCTCTTGATTTTTATGAGAAAGGAAGGATGTTCTCGGACGTTTCGAACTGTGGCAGGCAACATGCTACACAGAGATCACTTGAAGGGATTGGAGGGTGGGAGGTGTGCAGGTAGGAAATATCCTAACCTTTGCGATGTTATCTGCAAACTTCATGACCAGAGAGACTGAAATACCACTATGATATGGCACCGATCAGCAGAGTCCCACAGTGCACGAACAATGAATATGGTTACGGTTATTGTCGAATCCCAACATGATATGTATGCTTGTAGTTTCCTCCATGAGCAAAACCATTGTTGCGAGAAACAATTCATGCCAATACCATTCCCCTCCATCCCCCCCTCCCCCCGCCCCCCTCCCTGCCTCCGAAAATGCAAAACCTCGTAGAAGACCAACCATGACTCAATGCTGATTGAGCTAAGTTGAAAAAAGAAAACAAAAGTGGAGAGCACACCAATCAGGAGCAAACAGAACACAATTTTTTCTTGACGAGGAATTTAGTAGCTCCACTGTGATGTTGTCTGCTATACACTACTCTCTACCGATCCTACACACACCTTTCTTTCTTTCTTTCTTTCTTTCTTCGTTTCTCTATTTTTCTTGCTCCTCTTCTCTCCTCTACTGCTCCTACACGCACTAGTATACTACTCTCACTCTCTCTTTCGTCCATGTGTCACTCACGGGATGCTGCTCGAAGGGTCTGCTCACACAAGATGCCTGTTGCCAGCACCAGGTAAGTGCCACCAGTTCTCACAGCAGGCCTCGCTTGTTCTGACTACTATTGCTCGCCTTGCCACCCTACTGCCCTGCTAAGCCGTGCACAGCTGTGGCTGGGGCTAGCCCGGAAAGACGGCTCAGCTGCCTCCATGTGCGGGCGCACACTGGCCACGATGTGCGGCCGAATGCAGGAAGTTGCCGAATGCGCCAACGTGTTGCTATGCTCGGCCTCCCTCCCTTTGGACTGGTTGGAGGCTGAGTCTGAGTCCCAGAGGCAGTGCCTGGTGCCGACCGAACTGAGTTCGGGTCACAGCCTTCATAACTCGCGAGGAGTTACTGAGGCGTACTGGTTAGTTACACGGCTGGTGCCTATCTCAGGCCCAGAGGTCTCCCCTGCCGCCCTTCACATGGGGTTGGCTTCATTCTGTCAGGTGCGCATTCCCTTACGGCGCCCTGGATTCCTTTTCACAGGTGGCCGCTGTGGGGCACGCCATGGCCAAGGCCAAGGCCAGGTGCCTGACATTATTTAATGATGAAATGTATCCAAACGACAAAGCCAAGCCTGGAGTTGAGTTAGATAAGACACAGATCAGTTAACTTTATGCAAACAACGAAAGTCTGGTAAGTTTCCTCGACATCTCCCTCCATTTATGCACTGTGCTTCTTTGTAGAATCACTCTCTCTCTTCCCTCTAACCCCGCTGCGACATGAACTCTCTCTCTCTCTCTCTCTCTCTCTCTCTCTCTCTCTCTCTCTCTCTCTCTCTCTCTCTCTCTCTCTGTGCCTTGATGGCGTTCAACGTCCGCAGCCTTACGAAAGGAGTCTCGAATGCAACAAGAGTAGGATGAGAGGGAGGACGAGGAGATAGGAGAGGAGGGTAGGAGGGGTCTCTCTCTCTCTCTCTCTCTCTCTCTCTCTCTCTCTCTCTCTCTCTCTCTCTCTCTCTCTCTCTCTCTCTTGCCTTTTTCCTCCATGTGCTTTGGTTCCTCTCTGAAGTATCAAAGGCCTCTGATGGTAATCAATATGGTTAACCTGATTTAACATAATCAAAGCGTAATGGTACACAAGGCCAGTTTGACGTGTACTTATTTGCTTCGGTAGTTTTTGAGAAGTGGTGGAAAGGGGACAGTGGGGATGCCAGCAAGTCGGCATGCCCCTTGTGGGCTAGGCTACACGTGCTACAATGGCAATGACAATAGGAAGCAAGGCTTCAACCACCAGTACTTTTGACCCTTCTCTTGCATGAAAGTTGGAAACGCCCTGCGTGCCCAAAAAAAAAGAACCGGCGCAGGCCTCCTGTTGGCTGGTGCCGCCAGCCATTTTGCTCCGGTAGGCGGACCCCTTGGAGAAAACGGCTGGCAAACGTCCTACGTTCTTCGGTCAGAGCGCTGATCGTGGGGAGCGATTCTACCACCTCTCCAGGGTGGGGTTCTCTTTTGAGGGCTCCAGTCTATTGCTGGCAAGCAGCACGTGCTGGAAACCGGGTCCTGCGTCCCACTACAAAGTTTTTTCTTTTTCACTGGGGCCATTATTATCTTGGCTTCGGCTTCTGGCTTGTCAGGAGGCCAGTGTCCAATCTATCCCACTCCGTTCCTATGTCTGGTCCGTAAGCGGCCTACCTCTGCGCTTGGTGAATCTCTGACATAGGAATGGAGTGGGATATATTGTACCATCTCGGATCTGAATCGACCCTCTCTGACTCGTTCCATCTACAACCTGCATCGACCTTTTCGGGCTTCCCCCTCGAGGTCTGCAAACGGCCTGCAGTTGTACTCCCATTCCTCGAGGGGGACTGTCTTGGTGACTCCCACTTTTACTCGCTTGGTGAAAATGGTAAACGACAGAGTAAACACTCATCGGCTCGAGCGAGTCGGGGGACCACGGCGAATATAACTTAAGCCGCCAGTACACAGCCCCAGCCTTGCTGAAAAGAAAACTGGTCGCCTACGAAAATTTCGGAGGCCCAGCGCTGTAGATAAATTGAATCGCCAGGGCCCGCGGCCAATAGCTGCATGTACTGTGGTTTAAACCACAGTACTGTGGTTTAATACTACCTAGTTAGTAGGTCAAAGTGTCAGATTGTGAATTTGAAAACACGGGTTCACAAATTCGCTCTACCGGTGAATAACGAGTAGGTGAAATAACGGGAGTTGAACCCGTGTTTTCAAATTCTTGCATGTACTGGTCGCCCTTGCGACCGGTATTGCCCTGCTCAAATCTCAACTTCCCTCTACCGGGCGAGCAGCAGCGTACCACTGTACTCGTTGCATCTGCGGCCTGTATAGACCTTTTGTCAGACTTCCTGCAGTGATTGGGTGGGCTCGGTTGACGACACGAGTCTATCGGGGAAACCCCTAACAGCCACCTTCCCGGGCTTTGTGCAAAAACTGTGTCTGGCTGGACAGCCTGCGTGCTCCGTCACGGTCCGAGGGTAGTTGGGCGGCCTTGATTCCATCTCTTCTTCTCCGACGGCCGTTGACGGGTCCAGCCCGGGACTGGTATCCTCCATGTCACTTCTTTCTCGCCCCCCAGGCGGGGGGGTCGCCTTGCCAAGTAGTAGGCCAGTTAAAGTGCAGTGCCCGGCCTGCGATGGTGGCCACTCTGCCCTGCCCGAGCATATCCCTGGAGAACTTATTCTAGATGTAGTGTGCCAATCGCGGGTTCATTCAAACGAGCCCTCCATTTCTTCTTGTCCTTTCTCTGTCCCTCTTTCTGACATCTACATACGTATGTGTACAGACTCTATGAATAGATTGATAGAGTCTTGAAACGGAGGTATGCATTCATATCGAACGATAGACATTGGATAGAGTCTTGAAACGGAGGTATGCATTCATATCGAACGATAGANTCTTGAAACGGAGGTATGCATTCATATCGAACGATAGACATTGGATAGAGTCTTGAAACGGAGGTATGCATTCATATCGAACGATAGACATTGGACAACATCAAATTTCAAGGGGAAGCTGTATGAAATGCGTATGAAGAATAGTAAAATACTATGAAATCATTGAAATGTAAATTTCATGTACGGTCTTGAAACGGAGGTTTTCTTTGAAAAATCGATCATGGCGAACGTCTGGTCGAGCCAAAGGAGAATATGCAGAAGCGCTACGTAATTATTAGGAGGGAATGAATGGGTAAGTGGATGGGAGGAAGAGATGAAGAAGAGAGAGCTATGGGAGAAGGGGAGAAAAAAAGAAATGCATGTATGTACTTGGAATTTTGGACAGGTAACGAATCTAACGATAGACGAAGAACGAACAAGATAACATAGGATATGTAACGATAGACAAAGAACGAACAAGATAACATAGGTTGAAAGGCAAGTAGATGGGGTGAGAGAAGGGAATGAAGAGGAGAGATAGAAGAAGAGGAGGATGAAGTAGAGGTGCAAAGGACTTCGTACTGTGTGAGAGAAATGAATATGAGAGAGGTAAGAGGGGGAGGGCTAAGATGGGGCACAACAGGCTTCCTGCTTTGTCAGGGAGGTGAGAAAAATCAAATATGTCAGCCCTTGCCAGGAAAACATGGGGGGAAGAAGAAGAACAGAGGCAG